CGCAGCAGCAGCAGCAGCAACATCAGGTCGAAAATTTTATTTATGTAGAATTACGGACGGAAAACGCGCGAGAATTTCGTAAATTTCAAACGTTAGGACGCGAAGCGAGTTTCGTCATACGACCACCGCCGGTGGGTAGGATACCGTTCGCTGGCTGGAAAACGCCTTTCGTGAAATCCATGCGTACGCTACAAACTCCCGCAATCCGGACGATTACGTAGGGATAACTTTCGATTCAGCGGAATTAAGACATGGGGCGGCGGGGCTGTCGTTTCGCCCGATACGCGACTTAACTCCGGAGGACATATGGGGCCTCGTGAGCTCGGTAGCGCAGAGTGCCGGCGGTATCGATATCGCCGAAAATTTTGTCGTACGCGTTTTCAACGTCGCGGTACCGGTGGGACGCGGTGGCGTATCGAATCCTTTGACGAGCGAAACCGTTCGTAAACGCTCGATTTTAGAGCTAGGAAATAAAGATAATTTGTGTCTCCCCCGCTCCCTCGTAGTGTCACGCGTTCATTGTGAATGGGGGCCGAGTTTGAAGGAGGGTGCGCTGTATGAAAAATGGAAAGCCGTAAGATACCGGACTTCCTCGTTACAGCGCAATTTAACGCAAGAATTAATAAACAACGCCAATGTCGTGATACCCGAGGAGGGATGCGGGATTAAGGAAATTGAAAGTTTTCAACAATTTCTCGCCATTGAAAATATCGCGATAATGGTGTATAATTTTAGTACTTTTGCAAAAGGCGCGAAACCTTTGTATGACGGTTGCACGTTCCTCGCTTCGATGGGTCGCGTACCTTTGCATCGCTTAAATATAATGTATTACGAGGATTCGCGTCACTACAATCCGATCCTGAATATGACCGCCGCCGCTGGATATCGAGGGGGGTATTGTATGGAGTGCAACAAGGGTTACCGTAAGGGGCGTGAGCATCGTTGTGCGAAAAAATGTCCGAGTTGTTACAGCGTTCCCACGTGCGAGCGTCCCGGTGCGGAAAGTGTAAGATGCGCGATGTGTAACCGTACGTTTTTCGGAAACGCGTGCTTCGCCCGGCATCGCGCGGAAAAATCATACGACGGGAAATCACGTGATAGTATCTGCCAATCCGTTAAAATTTGCACCGGCTGTGATCGTTTTGTAAAAACTAACTCTCCGCACAAATGCGACATCGCCTACTGTAAAATATGTCGCTCACCTCAGTCTGTGAATCATTTGTGCTACATGCAGCCTCTTCGTCGTAAAGCCACGAGCGAAAACCTGGGAGAGGGTACAAGCGTTGCTACGGCGTTACAAGAAAAGGTCGAAGAGCGGCGTGTGCATGAAAATGATTTCGTAGGCGAGAGTGAGCGCGAAAAAGGTCGTGTCGCATTTGTGTTTTACGACTTTGAAACGCGACAGGACGAGACGCTCGAGGGTGCGGAAAGTAGTGTAAAGGTTCACGTGCCGGTCCTGTGTGTCGCGCAGCAAATTTGTGAAACCTGTGTTCAATTAGACGACATGACGAAGCGATGCCGTTGGTGCGGGGTACGCGAATTCATATTTCGACTCGATCCTGTGAAGGAGTTTGTCGACTTCGCGACGCGACCGACGAAATGTTCTAAAAAAATTATCTGCATCGCGCATAACGCAAAATCGTTCGACGCGCAATTTATTTTAAAATATCTAGTAGAAAAATCGGGGGTAACAATAAAGCCGCAAGTAATTTTAAACGGGTCGAAA